TCCATACTAAAAAGTACAATGTATACACACATTCCATCCGATCAACATAACAAAGCCGGGTCATCTTCACTCATAAGTTATTATGTCAGCATAGTTCTTCTAGATCATCATCGCGTCACGTCTTTTGAGGCGCGGCGTAAGGCCCGTTTTCGCGTGGCGTCACCTCATTAGCTTTCCCAATATAGAATAGGCACAATTCGGCCAGTTTGCTCTTACTTTTTCCAGCTCCTACTCCTCCCCTACCCAACCCCTGACAAAACTATACACCTATCAAAAATCTCCGAGTTACCGTTACCCCTTATTCCCTGCATTGATACATTAGCCCACGGACCCCCATTTATTTTATATATACCCCAATAATCAAAGTTGAGATATGTCATCTTCCAGCCAGTCTATGCGCGATACCAAACGCTATATTACCGAGTATTTTCCTAATACGGCCCCGCGCAGTTCACCTAAACCCCTTTCAACCCCTTGTGCCACAAGGCCGTTCAACCAAGAAGGCATTTCGGACGATGTTCGTCAAAGTTTGCAAACCATGGGTATGCGAATCCGCTCCAATGTTTCGCGGGGTTACAAGTCCCTTTCGGAGCATTCCTCATTTCAGAATATCAGCAATGACCCTGGTTTTTTTATGTTAGGCACTAATGAATCGTCGTCACCCCACGTAAAACGTTCATTAGACGAAGAAAGCGATGGCGGATTAACCGATAACGATGAGGACAGTATGACTGATGGTGGTGATAATGAGAAAACACACACCATTAATCGTCGTAACTTGGCTCCGCTACGAACAAACCGTCGCTTGTTGGCGGGCTCTTCAGCCTCATTCACTGCGCCTACGATGTCAAATTCTTTCCAGCCCACCTTTACTCCCTCAGTGGCTTCAGCCTCGTCTTCATTCACACAAGGATACACAGATAATAAAGCCAAAATCTACTATATCCCCCATAACGAGAATACGGGTTCCAATTTTAACCCCAGCAGGGTGTTTATGGCCTCTACAACGACGCCCACAGAGGCTACTTCATCGACACCAGCGTTAAATGAAATGGATGTGGATTTTGATGATGCTGATTTCTTGATGCCTAAAGAAATGATTATGTGAGGCCCCGGAATAGTCTCTTGACTTTTGCTACATTTTTTTATCTTATTGTTTTCACTCTATCTGTATTTTTTATCTTTATTCTCTGGGTATTTTCGTTTTTTTTGGGTCTTTCTTTTGGTTGAATTTTATTCATATGTAATATGACTGAAGGTGGTTTTTTATTCTTGATTTTGTTTTATTTTTTTCATAAAAGATTGATAGATTCTTATATTTTTGAAAGATCGAGAATATCTCGATATCAGTCTTACAAGCTATGACTATGTAAAACTATTTTTCTTAATGTTACATTTTTTAAACGAGTGTATAAATACTTTTGTGTGATCATCCCTTAGTGGGCAGCCTTTTCAGCGGTGTGTAACTTATTGACACATTCGGTGATAATATTAATACCCTTATCAAGATCTTCTTCAGAAATAACCAAAGGAGGAGCCAAACGAATAATGTGATCATGAGTAGGCTTAGCTAAAAGACCCGAATCCTTCATGAGTAAACAGAGATCCCAGGCTGATCTACCATCGGCCTTTGAGGGGTCAATGACAATGGCACAAAGCAGACCACGGCCTCTAATTTCGCTGACGACACCGCTCTTCAATAAGGGCTTCAAACCATCACGGAGACGTTCACCTAAAACTTGAGCTCTTTCAACAAGGTTTTCATCCTTGACAACTTGTAAAGCAGCAATAGCAACGGCACAAGATAAGGGGTTACCACCGTAAGTGGAACCATGGGTACCGGGTTCGATACAGAGCATAATGTCTCGCGAGGAGAGGACGGCAGAAACAGGGGTGACACCGCCAGATATAGCCTTACCAAGAAGGACCATGTCGGGTTGAACGCCGGGAACGTGGTGGACAGCAAGTAACTTACCCGTACGGGCGATACCAGTTTGGATTTCATCGGCGATTAAAAGGATATTGTACTGCTTACATAATTGAGACACGCGTAAGAGGTATTCATCAGAGGGAACCACAATACCGGCTTCACCTTGAATGGGTTCTAGTAAGAAGGCGGCGATGCGATCACCAGCATTGCGGAAGGCTTCCTCAACGTCTTCAATGTTGTTGTAGCGCAAGGGCTTGTTGGTACCGGGAATCGTGGGGCCAACGTTGTTCAAGTAAGGGCCGTAGTTAGCACGGGCTTCGGGATCTGTGGACATGGAAATGATAGCCAAGGTACGACCATGGAAATTCTCGGTGGCGGAGAGCACAATGGCTTCACCCTCGGGAATGCCCTTCTTCTTGTAACCCCACTTACGGGCTAACTTGATGGCGGTTTCGACGGCTTCGGCACCGGTATTCATGGGTAAGACCATTTCATAACCAAAGTATTCACAGACGTATTCGCAGAATTTACCAAAGACGTCATTGTGGAAGGCTCTGGAGGACAGGGTCAATTTGGAGGCTTGGTCGACCAACGCTTGGACGATCTTGGGATGGCAATGGCCCTGGTTGACAGCCGAGTAGGCAGAAAGGAAGTCCAAGTATTCTTTTCCTTCGGGGTCCCAGACATGGGCGCCTAAGGCGCGGGCAAACACCACGGGTAGAGGATGGTAATTGTGAGCTGAAAATTGCTCTTCTTGCTTGATAGCGTCAGCAGATGAGATTTGAGCAGTCATTATGTGTGTGTGTGTGTGTGTGTGTGTGTGTATGTGTATATGTGAAGATGCGTACGGAAACGTGTGTAGAGAAGTATCACGTGCGTGTAAAGTAATTTTATAGAAAAGAAACAAATAGAGGGCGGAGAGAATTAGAGGCAAGTCCGTGATCTTTTATAGATCGCTTCAACCGGAAAACTTGGACCGATCTTGATATAGTGGGTCATATTCTGCGCTAGAGGTTATGCAGGTTTTGACCCCTATAGGCAATACCGAGCGATAACACATATCAGCCGTTTCCCACGCTAGGGACTGCCTATAGGGGTTGTATATTTTTTTTATTTCTTTATTTTTTTTTATTATATTTTTATTTTTGTTTTTCTATCCGTCAATCTCTTCTAATATTGACTAGGCTGGGTTTTCTTTGGAAAATAAAGCTTATCACGGAAAATGCGCCCGACTCTTGATGATTAAATACATGACAATTCCTGATTGGTATTCTAGAACTTGATTTTCTGGTTTTCGTTTTCTGTTCTAGGTCCTTTTTTGTTCTTTTCTTGTTCTTTTTTTCGTTTTCTCTTTCCGTGTCGATTCTGTGGACCTGCCCAGAAACATTACTCCTTGTTTTACATAACATTTTAGGCTTTTGAATCATGTATAGTCTCACGCTTGTAAATTTGCTTTATACTTTTGATACAGTCAGCAATACATTGTCCGCAAACTGATAACCTACAAGAGGCTCTGCTTGCCAATTAAATTTCACTATTGTCTTATTTGCATCATGACTTTTCTACACTAAACAACTCGTTGTAAACTCTTCCAATAAATCCTTGTAGATCAGAGGTCACCATGGCCCGACCTTTACTCTCAAACGCCAATTGAGATGTGTACTTGGTGGCCAGACACGCCCCCCAAGCACTGAGTAACAACAACTCACTATCGCTCAGTTGATGCTCACCGTGTTCCCACAGCTTGTTTCGGTAGGCCTCCGACCATGCCAGCAACGTAACCATAATTCCTGACATAGTATCACCCTGGCCCCCCACGCGTTTGAGCCCACCCTGGATACCCTCATACTTGGCCTCTATAGTGACCGTACCATCACTCACCAAGTCAACCATACCTTTTTGAACCACCAGCACACCTCCCAAAGCCTCTGACAACTGTTTGATTGAGGATCCTGATTCTAGCCCTGAAGCCTTCACCAAGCGTTCAAACTCAACTTTATTCGGTGTCAAAATTGCCCGCTTGTATCCCCGGATTAACTTAGGATCTTGCTGCACTAAGAACAGCCCATCCGCATCAATCACCATAGGCATATCTTGAGATATGGCATATTTCAATATTTCAGTCACTGTACTCAGCATCAATTTATCCCGGCCCATCCCAGGGCCCACCACTAATGCATGGACCCGGTCTACAATTGTTTTTGCGCGCTCTACAATTTCACTCTCTGAAACCCCGGCTCGTTGTTGTGATGCGGTCTCGTGCAAATAAGGGTGTACCATAAGATCTGGCGAATACGATTTGATAACAGTCGCCGCCTCGTAGGCACATACTATATGGGACATGTCAGCACCAAATACTGTGGCAGCCATAGCAGAAAAATAAGGTGCCCCCGTATAACTGAATACTGGTCAATAAAAGAACTAAAAAAACTTTGATTTAATGAATCAAAAACTTACTCCTCACACCCGCCAATAACTGCAATCCGACCAGCTATATAGTTATTTAGTTAAACTGTTAGAATCTGTTTGTGGGCATTTGTTGTTTTCCGTCTCCTCTTCAAGTTTACTCACCCTGTCCTTTGTGGAATGATGGCTTGAGAGGCGGAACCATAGATTGGACCAATTTTAAAGTTTCCTTAGATGTTAATTTTCCTAGTCGTGACATTCTAAATTAACTGGCTATTTTGATGGTTATTACTGATTCGTTGTAGTTGAGCAATTGTCAAAATGAAATGGACTTGGTTGCGGTGGGATGATAAGGTACACTTAGTTAGTCAACTTTATAAGAAGGAATTAGCCAAGGTTATAATATATACGACAAAGACTTTTCGTTTGACCCGAATGATGATTTGGATCAATGTAAAAAATGAAAAATATAAAAATATCAAGCTAGAAAGATGAAACAGCCTTTAATATTAGGAAAGTATAATTGACTTTGAATCAAAAAACTTAACATTTCGTTTCTCTCAACTGAAAAGGCCCGATGGTTTAGTGGTATAATTCTCGCTTAGGGTTCATATCTTATCTGCGAGAGGTCCCGGGTTCAATTCCCGGTTGGGCCCACTTTAGAGCCTAGCTAGCTCAATCGGTAGAGCGTGTGACTCTTACGGTCTAATATTTAGAATCATTGTCATCACAAGGTTGGGGGTTCGACCCCCCCGTTGGGCTTACTTTTTTAGATCAGCCAGTTTTTTAATCTGTTACCCCAACAAATTTTTATGCCTTGAAGCGTAATAAACTAAGATCCCAAGAAATTCTAGGTAGCCACTTTTTCTGTTTTTGTGCTTCTCTTGTTTATAAAATATTATTATAAAAAGTTGAGGGTAAAAAACATTATAAAGTTTAAAAACGTATGCGATATTTTGTCAGACATAACAAGTTCGAAAAATTATGAAATATCAAAATACCTTTTTAGAAAAACTAAAAACATATCAGTTGTTGTGGCTTACGATAGGAATTACTTTAAAGATGATTTTTATTCTTGCGACAAAATATCAAATATAGGGAGCTTGTGATCATATGTAACTAGCAAGGTACTGGTAAGCATGTTACTTTATCGCACTACATAGAGTGAAAATTAAAAACACTAAATATGCAGTATACAAAATATTGAAATAATACCACGGATAATGTGTGTATAGGCAAATAATGAGATAGCTTATACCACAATGGATAAGCTGATTTATTTCCTGAGTGGCCAAAGTGAAGGAAGATAGTATTAGAAATAGGCTTGTCGACTATTTTATCTTATGAATATTCATAACATAATATCACTTATATGTGTCGTTAATTCTTTTTAGCTTGTCATTTGCCGCATATAAGTTATGTAAACAAACTACAATTAAGTTTTTGGTTATCACATCTTCCGAGTATCACTAGAACGGTATACAATAATAACCTCACATAAACCGAGTAACAGGTTATTAGAGGAAAGCAAAATTAAAAATTGAATCAACCTGAAGGTAGCTATTGCTGTAAAGATAATTAATTAATTAATTAAGATGAAAATTCTGGATTTTACAACAACAAAGGGAAAATATGGGTAGTGATTTCAGTTTTAAAATAATAACTCTTAATGATTGATACACTTAGATATGGACACACCTTTTTGAGGTGTGTCTTCTCTTAAAACTATGCCTTCAATAGTCAGGTCTCAATTATATAGTACGTTGAAAGACAAATTTTAATTGTTGGCCTATTAAAAAACGGCTATTGACGGGGTACTATTATCAAATCGATATTTCAAAGTTGGTCTGGTAGATAAATATGAAATATTTAAATATAATTGTAAGAAAAAATTCAAATAAACTGACCAAAAACACACAAAAGTTGGATTTGTGGAAATTCTTAATAAGCCACTGGTGAGTCAAGATCTGCTTTGTCAGCGACAGGGTAAGCCGGCTCGGTTCGAATCTTTGCTTCCTGAAGTGATGATAAATCTCGGAACTTCCCTTCTATTTTACCGATTAATTCCAAGTTATAAAATTAAGTAAGTACCAATCTATACTAAACTGAACAAAGAAAATACCGGGATTAGTGCTGAATAAACAGTTATCTTCTGATGAATCAACGACTTCAACAATACACAATACTAGATAGTTTTATGTCAGTTTCTTGTGAGATGATAGCCTATTAGCTTTCGAGTTTTCTAGATTCCGGCCGTTTCTTTGCTCTTATAATCTTTTTTGAACGAAGGCAGGAAACTATAATATATTACTTTAATATTAACTTTATTTAGTTATGTCCAGATCTACTCTTGTTTCTTGGGCTCCTTATGTTGCCTCCGGCCTTGCCATTGCCGGTTCTTACGCCTACTTCTCCTCCATGGCTATTCGCACTCCCCTTCGTGCTGACTCTCACCCCAAGGCCCTCACTGGTGACGGCCAATGGGTTGACTTCAAGTTAGCTCGTATTGCTGAATTGTCCCATAATGTTAAGAAATTCACTGTTGCTCTTCCCTCTTCTGATCACGTCCTTGGTGATGAAACTGCTTCCTGTATTTTACTCAAGTACATGAACGAGAACAACAAGCCTGTTATCCGTCCTTATACTCCCACTACCCCTGTTGATAAGTTAGGCGAATTTGAACTTGTTATCAAGAAGTACGAAAATTCCAAGATGGGTACCCATTTGTTCAATCTTAAGGCTGGCGATTCCATCTCTGTCAAGGGTCCCATCCTCAAGTACGCCGTTACTCCTAATTTACACAAGGAAATTGCTCTTATCGGTGGTGGTACTGGTATTACTCCTCTCTTCCAAGTCTTACAATCTATCTCCCGTAACCCCTCTGACAAGACCAAGGTTAAGCTTATCTATGGTAATATTTCTGAATCTGATATTTTACTCAAGAAAGAAATCGACGCTATCGTTGCCGCCAAGCCTGAACAGTTTTCCGTTCACTACTTCCTTGACAAGCCCTCCGCTGGTTGGAAGGGTCAATCTGGTTTTATTACTGCTGATTTCCTTGCTAAAAACATTCCTTCTGCCAAGGCTGACAACGTCAAGGTTATGGTTTGTGGTCCCCCACCCTTATACCAAGCTATTTCCGGTAACAAGGTTTCTCCCTCTGACCAAGGTGAAGTTGAAGGTGCCCTTAAGGAGTTAGGTTTTTCCAAGGATCAAGTCTTTAAATTCTAAGCGAACCTTAGTACTTGTATTAGCTTACTGAAGAGTGCCAGTGCAATCCGGTTTGGTTCTTTTATGGCTATGATGGAAATTATAAAATATATAAATTAGTTTATCTCTTCGATTTCTCTATTTGACACTGTCTTATATAATTATATCTGTTGTATTTATTTCTGTTAGAATAGTTGAAATAAATCAATTGAACGGTTACTTGAAAGATGATAATTAATTCACTGATGAAAATCACTTGATCCCAACACAGGATCTGCACCCCAATCTTAACTCCTCACCTCAACTTAACGCTGCACCTCCCTTTTATACTAACCAACACGACCTAGCTTTTGAGGGTAAAAGTACAATTATTGGAGTCATATTATGTCAATTGAGGCTTTAACTCTTGCGGAAGATCTGGTTCCAGAATCTGCTACGCCTCCAGATCCGACTACTATTAATACTGAGTGCGATGTTAATGCCATTCTTGCTGAAAAGGTCGCACAGCTGGCTCATGTAAAAACTCAGAATAGTCAACTATGGAAACTCGTCGTTAAACAACGCGCCATGATTTTTGATTTACAACGTGACTTGGCTGAAGCACTATCTGACAATGGTACATCTATCAACAAAGAGGCTGACAAAAGAGGTGTGGGCCTAACCAGCCCAGATATCGCGGGTCCCCGTAACAACAAAGAGGCTGACACCGATAATAGTAGTGATATTATTAGCCAAACAAACTCTGAAGCTGATTTTTCTAACCTTACTGGAAGAAACATAAGCTATAGGGTTTGTCAGTCATCAACAAGTACAAAAGATAATAACACAGATGAACACAGCACAGAGGATAATAACAACAAAGAGGATAATAACAACAAAGAGGATAATAAAAATAAAGAGGATAACAAAGACATAGAAGAAAATAACAAGAGTGAAAACATTAGTGATTGTGAGAGTGATTTAGCCAGATCTGACTGCTCCGATACCTCAATACAATTAAAGACACCTGAATTACTCCAAATGCCCAATGTATCAACTCCGACAGCTCTAAGATCAGATGACCCAAATTTACGCCAGAACACAGAAATGTATCTTGAGGGTGTCTTTGGTAAATCTACTACTCAGAGTCCTGATGCCTTCTCTCGTGCTCTGGCGCTTGACCATCCATATTCCTCAAAAACTAAAGAACTAATTCCTCGAACAGGAACGCAAACTGATGCTATAATTTTGAGTGACTCTGACCAAGAAGCTGAAAAAGAATCACTGACTAACAGTACTAGAAACTCACTGATTGCCTCATCATTTAATTTTAATGATATGAGTCAAGAATTATCGACAATGGGGGGTATCGCGCTTTCTCAACCAGAGATAGAAACAGGTTCAAAGTTCAAGATAGCGATAGATACTAAAGAGTCTTATCAACTAACTGGATCATTTGGAAATATGAATGCAGCACCGTTTTCCCGTCGCACCACCCCAACTCTTGGCTCATTCCCATCTACCATTCCCACGAAGGATAAAGATCATGCAGCAGCATCACATTTTAGCCATATGCGTAATTCAACGTCTGATTTCATAAAAAGGTCTATCTCTAATTCTTCTCTCTCAAGACGTTCTTTGTCGGTATCTTCTGTCGAATCAATATACTCTACAACTAGTGCTAATCATGGGAACACATGTGGCGCTATTAGTAATACAAATAAAAGGAACAGCAATGGATATGGCCATTTTCGTAATAAGTCTTCGCTAGAGTCTATTGACTCTTCACATGCCCGCTCTTTGTTTGGGGTACAACTATCAAACCCAACGACCCCTCAAGGGTCTACCACTCCTACCAGTCTTGGCTTTGAAGACAACCAAAAAAAGCAATCGTCCATAAGTCTTATATCAACTGCATCTACTGATTCTTCAACAACTTTGGCCTCATCACGTCGTCTGGTATCTTCTGAAGACCGGCTTTTCGTTAAGCCCAATGGCTTAGCGAACATAATTGTTGAGATTGGCTCATCTATGCCGCGAATAAAAAAGGGCACTAAGCGTGACGAACCTAGTGCAACGTTAATAATTCGTGACCGTGAAACTAAAAAAGAATTATGGAAAATTCTCAAGGACTATTCGAGCTTTCTTGCTTTGGATAACCAACTTAAACTTTTGATTCCAGCCACTAGTTCAGCTGCGATCTCGAGTTCATCTATGGCAGCAACCACATCTATCGGAATGACTGCCAGTTCCAGTCCTTTGCTAGTTAAGTTACCCGAAAAGTCCTACTTTGTGAGTTTTGCCCCGGCTAAAGTTGATATAAAGAAGTATCAGTTATGCAGCTACTTTGATGTACTATTGACTGCATCATTTTTACCTTCGTTGGCGGCGCTTCATATATGCCAATTTCTCTCAAGTAATCTTATTGACCCTATGGATGTTCCTGAAACAGATGTAGCTAAGGAAGGTTACCTCACTAAACGCGGAAAGGCTTGGGGTGGTGGTTGGAAACGTAGATACTTTATACTAGATAATGGAACTTTACGGTATTTCGAGTCAGCTGCTACAGCTAG